AATGCTGATTAAAAACCAAATACATAAGAAAAGCAACAGGCAGACAAGGGCGTCGCTCACAAACATTTAAACAGTAGTAATTTGTAGACAGATTAAACATTGACAAAGCTGTATGTTGTCAGCAAAGCTGTAAAAATTAATGCAGTGTCTCCTATTGATGTTTCTTAGCAGCAGCATGTATAGTGTGGGGCCTAAATTTGATCCCTGTGGAACTCCATAAATAAGTACATAAGTTTAGATAGTGAATTACCTATATTTATACAGATATTTTTACTCAGTCATATAAGAGTTAAACAACTTCAGTTCAGTTCCGAGATGCCAATTAATCAGAGCTTGCAGGGGTCGACATGAGTGTTTTCATTTTGTGCAAGACAACTTATTTTTGTCCTGGACAACCAGATCTCACTTCGAGGTTGTCCAATGGACAGCCAAGTGAAATAAACATGAAATAAAGTTCTCCGTCGCCACGACAGATTTCCATCATTTGTAAAAATGAAAAGGGGAAAACACGTTTTATTGTCGTCTTTTTAAAGCCATCCTATCTGATGATGATGATACAGGGCTTAAACAGATGCTGCTTTCAACAAAGAGAACTAGAGGCACAGATATTAATTTTTATTAATTTATACTCTGCAAAAGACTTCTTGAGCAATATCTAACAAAAATGAGTCGGGTCCTCTAGACGGGTTCTTCAGACTTCTTCAGTCTCAGGAGCTGCAAGCTAAGTCTTATAAACAGCACATTCTCATGGTGGATCAACCAATTTGCTGGTGACAGCCAAAACTAGCTGTTCACGTGCAAAAGGAGGGCCATCAGCCTAACAACCAATAGTTAGTGCCCTGATGGCACTGACTGACGTCACTATTGTGACAGAAAAAAAGACCATTATTTCGTCCGTCTCCATGATGACATCCCTCGCCATAGCTGCAAAGTTTGATGTCACATCAATCTTTATGTGCATTCCTGTTGATGAGGCAGTGGACATAGTCTGATTAAGGTTAAAATCAAACACCACTCTTACCAGCGGGACAATTTTTTCTACAGAGTAACTGTGCCAAAGCTTGAAACTGTGCCTGCAGTCAACCTATTTCACATATGGGGGGCAATCTTATAGGCAGAAACATGGGTGTGCTATGGGGTGCCCACTGCCCAGTTTATCCTATTGTTGCCAACCTGTACATAGGTACATAGGTAGAAAAGAAAGCAGTGGCGTCATAAGCATAGCAACAATTATATGTGAAGGGGACAGGTCCCCCTCACATTTAAAAAATATTCATTTGGACCCCCCCACATTTACCATGAAACATTAGTTCACCCAGCGCTGTTTCTATTTCTTTGTGAACGAGTCCATTCCACTTGATTAATAGGAGAATACTCAAACCACTAAAAGTCTTCTCCGGGTTTTTCTGGTTACCTACAAGTCACCACACCACATGCAGTTTCTCCGAGGTCACTTGGCTTGGCAGGGCGCTCATCTCTTCTGAGTTTTTTGCCAACTGGACAGGGGAGGACAGGGAGACACCTCTGTGTTGAGTGCTAGCTGAGCGCTACGTTAGTTCTGGCAGTTGTAGGATGCATGAGAGAGGTAGAGCACGCTCTATTCACACAAGGAGAGCTGTTGGTCAGGGTACTCCTTGTTATGCCATGCTTAATGGTCCGATAATGATACAATTAACAGTTTATTTAAATCTATGTTCTGTCTGAGGTCTTTTTAAATCTTAATCCACGCTGTCTCTGTGCTATAGTTTGATCTAAACCCAGCACAGATGTATATGTCAGTGTTCTGACGCCGCTGATTTTATTAGTCTGATAGAAGTTGAGCAAACCTCAGCTTCCTCATAACCATCACTATATAGCAGTCTTTGCTAAGCACACATAAAACAGTGTGGTAACACGAACGTTGTTTTATTGTGTAAACTGCAACAAACAGTGTGAAAAAATGTATGTCAGTGTGCTTTTCTACTATTTTAAACTTTATAACTACAGGTGACTGCAACACCCCCCCCCCCCCCCCAAAAAAAAGTCAGTATTTTGTCTGTTACTTTCCTGACATTTCAACACAAAACAGTTGTGTACTTTTCAGCTAGACGTGCCAAAACTATGATGAGTGTCTGCCAGCGTAGGGGGAGGAAATCCTTCTTCTTTAGCTTGTTTCAGCTTGGAATGTATAAATAATAGTTTTATTAATGTGTTAATGCCAGAGAGCTGTGGAGCACGCTGAAGGAACAGCACCGTGTTAGATTTTGAGGGTGTTTGTTCATTTTGGATGTTGGAAAAAAAAGTATTTTTAAAACATTTTGTCAAACTTCACTCCAATACTCCTGAGTGATAATTTTAGAAAACGTCTGAACAGTGTCGTGAAAAAGTGAAGAGGTTTAATATTAGCTAATGTAGTGTTCTTTCATGATGATGTCGTTTCTGAGAAAGAGTTGCTTCGAAACATGAAAATTTATTTTATAAATGAAAAAACTAATTTGACTTGCTATTAGCCTAGCCTGGATGAAGACTTTTGCCTCCGTTTTCCATAACCTGAGCTCTATGATTAATGCCACGGTTGATAAGATACACACTACTAATAACTATGTGACAGAACATCCCTTCCTTGCTGTCTTTGCAGTGACTGTTGAAACATGTTAAATGCCAATTTCCAAATAAAGTCTAGAAAACAAAGTGATCTGAATGAAATGAAACAGCTTCAGCTGGATCCCCTTTCTTGACCAAATATGTAGCAGAGAAGAAATCCCTTAGGCCAGACAAAGACCATCAGCACAACCAGACTGAAGAAGTTTTCGATGTCTTCTGTGTGATTTTTTTTGATGCAAGTGTTACTCACATGCACATACGTATCCTAATACGTATATGCCAGGAGAGCTGTATGTTTCAGCTGATTAAGTCGAGCAGAAATGTAGCAGCTGTGTGAGCTCACAGGGTGGGAGAGGAGCACGTTTGTGGAAGGATGTGAGACGTACCCGCAGCTCTCTCTGTCCTTCAGCAGGTACAGCTGGTGGTCCTGGGACTGCAGTTTGGAGACGCTTGTTATGGATGCTGAGAGTTGTTGAGCCTGGGGGCAGAGAGACCATTGACATCATCAAACAAATGGAAAGTGCTCTGTCACCACAGGTTCTCTGTCAGTGAGGTTACCAAAGGGTTAAAAGTCAAGTCAAGTCATATTTATTGGGCTAGATCCTAAAAGATCTGCAGGTCATGATGACCTCCCTCCTTACTTTGTACATCTAGCTGCACAAATTATAGCTGAACTAGTGTCATACATTTTTAACCCTTCTATTCAAATAATATTGTTCTCAGTGTTTGGGAAAACAAATTCTGTACCAACTTTACTGAAAGGAGGCGACCCCACTTTATTAAACAATTATCCAAATTATTATTATTATTATTATTATTATTATTATATTATCATTATTATTATTATTATTATTTTTATTTCCAAACGCTGTATTTTAGCAAAGGCTTTAGAAAATTGTGGTGAAAAATCAAATTCAGAAGCATTTGGATTCATCCATCCATTATTTTTTACCCGCTTCTTGATTTTTGGGTCGCAGGGGGTCACTGGTTCCCATATCCAGCAATCACTGTGCGAGAGGCGGGGGACACACTGGACAGGTCTCCAGTCCATCACAGGGACACATAGAGACAAACAACCATTCACTCTCTCACTCACACCTAGGGACAATTTAGTGTTACCAATCAGACTAACATGCATGTTTTTGGTCTGTGGGAGGAAACCAGAGTACCTGGAGAAAACCAACACATGCACGGAGAGAACATGCAAACTCCACCCAGAAAGGCCCCCGGCTGAGATTTGAACCAGGATAACCTGCTCGCTGAGAGGCGGCAGCGCTACCAACTGATCCACCGTGCTGTTTTGAATTCTTAACATTTTATCTTCCTATCAGTCTGGCTTCAGAAAATAACACTGCACAATGACTGCTCCTGTAAAGGTTGTTAATGGTGTTGAAGGAATGGCTGCTAAGGGATACTGTGCTGTTGTTTATGTATCCCTGTTCAACACAATTCATACTGTACATCATGGAGTCTTATGTCATTATGTCAGCTTCTCAGGTCACACCGTCAGCTGGTTTTCTCATTACCTCTCAGATTGAAGGCACTTCCCAAATCAATCAACCTTTATTTATACAGGTAAATCCCATTGGTTTTCTCATTACCTCTCAGATTGAAGGCACTTCCCAAAGATCTTTCATGTAGTATTTAATGATAACTAACGGTGTTCCACAAGGCTCAGTTCCAGGACGATCTCTTTTTACAATTTATGTAAATAATACATGTGTTTCTGACACCTCTTTGCAACATTACGCTGATGATACAATCGTGTGTTGTTGCGCCAACACAGTTGCCAACGTTTTCCAGCTTCTACAGTCTGCATTTGACGTCATTCAGTCAGATCTAATCCATCTAAAACTGATGCAAAATGCTGATAAAACCAGGGTGAGGCTGTTTTCAAAAAGAAAGCTGGTGCCAGCAGTTCTTCCATTTATCTCATCCATACAGTGTACCTAGTGAACGCCTTGTCTTATACCTAGAATTTTAATTGATGCAAATCTCTCAAGCCCATATTGAAAACTCGTTAAAGAAACTGAAATTGAAACAAGCGTTCTTTTCCAGGATCGGATCTTGCTTAACTTTGAACACCAGGAAACTGCTTGTAGTTGCCACTTTCCTACCAGCTATCGATTATGGTGACATTGTTTACATGAATGCCCCTGCCAGCTCCTTGCAAATATTGGATATGGTCTACCATGGCTCTCTAAGGTTCATAACTGGTTATTAAGTACTGTACCCAATACCCATCACTGCACTCTGCACTCATTGGTCAGTTGATCATCATTATCTACCTATAGGCTCTCACACTGGTACATCTTCATCTTTAAATCACTCCTTGGTCTGTTCCTGTCATATATCTCCTCCTACAAGTCATCAGTGCAGTTACAGTGTCACCCCCAGGTCTTCATTACTTGAAGCGTTCCCTAGGTGTGGACTGAAATAAATATAAAGGCCTTCTTTAATTCTGCTCCTGTAACCTGGATACCTTAAAACAAGATTTTAAAGCTGTTCACTTTGATTTCTTTGAGGATATGTTCTTCAGTTATTTAAAAAAAAACTATGCAAATGTGTTCTTCTTTTTAGTATTTAACCTCGTTTTATTTAGCACCTTAAAAAAATCTATATTATTTTAAATCGCTTTTATTGTTGTATCATCTGTCTAAAACAGGGCTCTCTTTAAAATGTGTCCTTGTGTCTCAATGAGACTACCTGTAAACATAAAGGTAAAATAAAACAATAGGATAGAAGAAAATTATTAATGAATGGCTGAATGTAAATACCGTATTTTCCGCCGTACACGTCGCACCGCCATATAAGTCGCATCCGTCCAAATATGTCTAATAACGTGGAAAAATCTATAAATATGTCACTTCACCGTATACGTTGAATCTATTATGCGTCACCGCTGACAACCCAGAAATTTGGGCCGGTGTTGTGCCAAAAATCAATTGGCTGCCAAATGGCGGCCGCGGGAGCGTGCATGGGAGGACTTTAACAAGAATTTAACAAGATTAACACTTAAAAACAATTGTTTGTTTGCTCGAAATTATAGTAAAGGTGTGTCTCAGTCTAACTTTTGTTTAATAAATGCACTTTGACGGTCAAATCAGCTACATTTCAAAACCTGATTCGCGGAAGTGTGCACGCGCAGAGGGACGAGCCGCTATTCAATTCTTTAAAATTTAACAAGATAAGCACCTAAAACAATTATTTGTTTGCTCTAAATTATAGTAAAGGTGTGTCTCAGTTGAACTTTTACTTAATAAATGCACTTTAATGGTCAAATTAGCTGCATTTTACTGGGGCGCTGCAGCAAAATGAAGCTGATTTGACGGTTGCTCCAAACAGCGAGCAGAACGAAGGTGGCAGGCTATGGCAAGTCGATTTGTCATTAATATCTGGTGAAGATTCTCAGTCATCCAAGACAATGTCCATTCAAAAAAGTTCAAGACAAAAACAATAAAGTATAATAAATAAAGTCCACTTGTTTTTGTCTTGAACCTTTTTGAATTTGTCATTATAGCCACTTTTACCTATTAGCAGAATGCTGCTGCTCGACTTTTAACCGGAACTCGTAGGTCTGAACATATTACACCAGTTCTGTCCTCCATTCACTGGCTCCCTGTTCGTACGAGGATAGTTTTTAAAATTCTTCTGTTGACCTTCAAGTGCCTAAATGGCCTCGCACCCCTTTACCTCTCTGAGCTTCTGGAACCTTACGTTCCCTCTCGGGCCCTGAGATCATCCGATCAGCTGCTTTTGGCTGTTCCAAAAACAAGACTGAAGCTCAGAGGAGATCGGGCTTTTTCAGTCACGGGCCCCAAACTCTGGAACAACCTGCCCCCCAACATCAGGCTGGCCACCTCCCTTCCTCACTTCAAATCCCTGCTAAAAACTCATCTGTTCTCGCAGACATTTCACACAGTGTGAATTGATCATCATGTTTTTTTGATCTGTGACCCTATGTTTTAAATGCTTTTTATTAATTCTTCAGTTATTATTATTAGTGTATTGTGTGTGTGTATATATATATATATATATTTTTTTTTTTTTTTTTTTTTTTTTTACTCATTGGTTGTTGTTGTTGTTAAGCACTTTGATAACATGTTCTGTTTTAAATGTGCTCTATAAATAAAGTTGACTTGACTATGATACAATGACATGCACTCGAGTGCCATCTAGTGGCTGAAAATGGTAGTGTTCAGTCAGAATGAATGAAAACGGTCATATCTCAGCCAAAAAATAGTATATAAATATGGGGGAAAATCCATAAATATGTCACTTTGGCCTATAAGTCGCAGGGCATGTAAATTATGCAAAAAAATGTGACTTATAGGGCGAAAAATACGGTACCGTATATTGCACTGTATAGTATCCCACTATGCAAAATCATCCAAATGCTAAATAGCCAGTTGTTGTCAATATATAATTATTACCATTCAGCTTTACAGGTATATTATTTCTACTTTCAACTGATTTCTATCACTGCAGATAAGAACTACAGGGCTCTGCTCCCTTAAGAACACACAAACACAACTTCACACCTGTGAAATATGGGGCAGCTGTGGTTGAGTAGTTAGTCGCCCTCCAATGGGAGAGTAGGTGGTTCGATTCCACCAGCAGTCACATATTGAAGTGTCCAAGGGCAAGACACTGAACCTCTCATTGCCTCCGATGTGTGTCCCATCGGTGTATGATACTGATCTAGAAGCACTGATTAGTCTCTATAGTATGATTTATTCAATTAGCTTTGTAGAGGTGTAGTAGTTCTGTATGAACGTGTGTGTGGAGGTAAATGAGGGCCCAGATTGTGTTGCAAAGTGCTTTGAGTATGTTGGTCATATTGAAGTACAAGAGTATAAGTACAGTCCATTTATCATTTACACACTCACCTTGGCTGAGGCTCTTCCAAGTTCATCAATTACTGTGGCAATGTGAGCCTGGAGGTCTGGGCTGCAGAGGTGAACACACCAGAACAGAGCAGGGTTGGTTAACCAGTCAGTAAATGAGAAGATACGGAGTGTAAATATGGTGCAGAAGCAACTGGTGAGTCAGAGACAGGTTGGAAAAGTTTTTTGTAGGATCTAAACGAGGACGAAACAAACTTTGACCCTTCTCAGACTGATAGGCAGCAACAGCTGTGTCTCTAAAGGTTGGATCTCACCAAGCTAAAGCCATCACTAGTCCTCAACTCAAAGCTGAAAGAACATCAGTGAATTTTCAGTTGCAGTTTCACTGATTTCCAAACGTGCGCAGCGATATGTGCAGCATAGGTGACCAGTTTTGGAAAAATCTCCACTTATTGTGTTCATGGCTGGCAAACCTGTTCTTCGGTGTGCATGTTATTTGGTTGTCCACCTCTGTCCACACCAGGTAATCATTACATTTGATCAGGAACACGTGGCCGCTACAAAACCTCTTAAAAGAATCTCAAATTAGTTGGAACAACAGACCTTATTTGATACAAATGATTTGAACAATTACTTTGGCTGTAACAACGAGACCATAAAAATACTGTAGGCTGTGTAGTTTTTACAACAAAATATATATATATATACTGCCACGCTGACGTCGCTATTATATTTATGTTGCAATGCATTCTGGGTAAATGACAGGTTGCTCCAATGCAAGCTCCATTTATCTTGAATGTTAATTATGTAGAATACCTGACGTTCAGTCCTTTCATTTGAACCGGAGAGCGTTGATTGACAAGAGAATGGAGAAATGACTCAGCCTTCACGTTAGCTCCAGAGCTAATGCTTGAAAGTTTGTGAACCTTTTAGAATTTTATTTATTTATGCATAAATATGACCTAAAACATCAACAGATTTTCACACAAGTCCTAAAAGTTGATAAGGAAAACTCAGTTAAAGAGTTGTGGATGAAGGATATTTCAGTATAGGCGGGGCGCCCTCCTTGGACAACCGTAGGGGAAAAACTGGCTCTGGTAAAATAATGGTGACGTCTTCAGGTGAAAAATGTAATAAACATATATTTTGAAGTACCGGTAGTTAGTAGTTTTCACGTATCAGAAACAATTTTTTTGTAGGACATAAAAATAACATTTTAAAGCCAATAAGTGCAAGTAGTAGGAGAATCCTTTAAAGGCTTTGGAAGCATTATTAAATTTAATTTTACACACAACTTTCCACTTTGGGTTTGTTTAATAAATGTTCAAATTGTAGAATTTGTTGTGTATTCTTGTTCAGGTGAGGTTAGATGAAAATAATTTTAGAACTTTGATAAAAAACCAGATCATTGTTTTTAATTATAGGATACATAAAATGTTTGACATGAAGAGGGTGGACCTGCCCGACTCAAAAACTGATTTGAATCGCTTTAACTTTACCAGAACTAAAGTCAGACGAGGTAATCCTCATGCTATTGAAACAGCGTTTGCATGTTAAAAATAAATAACTACAAGTTTTAGTTTCTAATCTTTGAATGTAATGTTTTTTTATTTATTTTCTATCTCGGGCTTAGTAAAACAACAACAAATAACCAGATTACCCGCCTTTTCTGCAACAATGCAGAACTCTGATGTGGAAAGATTTGCTGAAATATATGAAAGAAACTGAAACTACATTTTTAAAGCTAAAAGAAGCAGGATACTAGCTAGCTAAAAGCTAAACGTAGCAAAATGAAGAAGATAAAAATACAAAAAATTAAAGCTAAAAGCAGTAAAATGTTGGCTGAAAGATAAAAAGGGGCAAAGAACTAGCTAAAACAGCAACAGACTAATTAAAAGCTAAAATACCAAAAGAGTAATTAGAGGCTAAAAGTAGCAACAAAATAGTTACAACTAGTAAAAGCTTTAGCTAATAGACTACTTTTACCTAGCCTTTGGTGCTTGCTAAGTCTTTGTACTTTCATACTTTATTTAGACAGGATTAGCTTGTCTAAATAAAGGTTGAATGAAAAAAAAAATACATCTCCTCCTACATGTCATGAGTGCAGCTACAGCGTGCGCTCTCAGGACATAATTACCTGCAGTGTTCCCTCAGTGAAGACTGAACTTGGCAAAAGGGCCTTCTCCTACTCTGCTCCCGTTTCCTTGAACATCTTGTAAAAAGATCTGAATCTCTCGACCTTGACCTCTCTAAGCGGCTTCAAACATCTGCTAAGTTCATGGCAAAAACCAATGCAGGCATGTTCTTGTTTCTAGTTTTCTACGTAGCTTTATAATTAAGCTGTTTTTGTTTCTGTTTTTTTTATTTATATATATAATTTTCTTCCATTTATTTTTTAAATGTATATACTTTGATTGGCTACTGTTGTCAATAAAAACAGGTCTCTCTTGTACATGAGTCTTTGAGGCTCAATGAGACTAACCTGTATAAATAAAGGAGTTATCCTGTGCGCGCTCCCGACAATGGTGTGGTCCTTTCAACTACACTACCTCAGGATGAGTACCACACCTGTGAGGTGTCCTCCTCTATGCCTGTTTTAAAACGTGGATACGCGCATGTTTTTCTAGTCACACACATGAAACACCGGCATTTCTTTACCTTCCGGTTGATCTCCAGCTTGCAACAAGACTCTGGTCCAAAACCGAGATCCTCTCAGAGAACAAGTGATTAATATCAAACGGAAACTCCATGATGAATCAGACAGGTTGGACACCCCAGAGGCAGAGAAGAGGAGGGCGCTTAGCTTAGCAACCAAATGATGCTGCAGTGTCTAAAAAAACCTGGATGCTTTTATGGTGTCAGGCTAGCACGCGTTAGCTACACAGACTCTCCTGAACTAGAAAGCTTAGTTTAGTTAAAATAAACTAAAGTTATGCTCTGAATTACAGAAGCTAATTTATTTACACAGCTGGTTCATTGTGTCGCTATGGATGAGACGTAACTCCCCTACGACGGCGGCAGCCGTGATGAACCGTAAAGTACGTAAAAGAACTACCCAGCTAACGGCGGGTTTGACAACGACTCTTTGTCGCGCGCACAAACACGTGACATTACGGTACCCGCGCTGACGTATCAGCGCTTTCAAAATAAAAGCGGACTGCCGAAACTTACTGTATTCTAGGAAAAAATAAAATACATATGTAAATAGTTAAGCTAGACTTTGTTGTGCTTATAGCTGAGAGTGATACACAATGCTAGACCTTCATCATCACCTGTTCAGTCATGTTTGTCTGTTAGCAAAATGTCTCATGGACCCCGCTGCACGGATTGTAATGAAAACTACAGAAAGTAATTAATGAGTGTGTACATCTACAACTGATTAATATTTGGAGTCAGTCCAATTTAAGATGGCTGCCACTGCTTATCAACTTTGGCCAACACAAAAATAGGTCTATAATTTTACACGTATTGAGCTTCTGGTGTGGTAGTAGCCGAGAGTCATTCATAACACATGCAGCTTGCAATGTTGCATAAAGTGATGTAAAACCTTCAAAACAAAATGACCACAACTCTGTCTTGTCTCAAAATGAAATAATAGTTTAAAACAATGGAATAAGAGGGTGCTGATGGTAATGGATATCTAAAGTAACCCACCTGAAACATCTGGATATCTAAAGTAACCCACCTGAAACATCTAGTACGTAATCATTTTTATTAACATAAACACTTTTACCAACCACTTTTACTTCACATTAGAAGTAAGTAAAATAAAACATTTCAGTAGCACCGGCTGAAGGTTGACCACCAGATCTGAAGGCAATGGTCAAAATTAAAACCGGAGAAAATGTTTCAAGTTCCTTAAATTATTTTTTACACTTTATTTTAATTTGTTTTAGGAGCATATAGTCTCAATGAGTCAGGAGGACTCATTTTTAAGAGAGGCCTGTTTGGGAGCAGATGGTGGGGGTTAAGGGCCTTGCTCATGGGCCCAGAGTGGGGTAAATGAGGGTGGAGGCAGGTGTGGGTGTTTCACCTTTTCCACCCACGTTTTGATGTTGTCGTTTCAGGGAGTTGAGCCGGCGACCTTACAATCGCAGGCCCACCTTCTACCTCTGCTCCACCACTCTTCCAAGTCGTGATTGGTCAACGCAGCTTCAGCTGGAAGGAGGCGAAGACGTGTGATGCTGACAGAGTGACAGTCGTCTTAGAGGTTAGTGATTTAGCTTTTGCTTCCGCTAATATTTTTACTTGTTTAGTGGTTTAGCATGAGCAAAGCTAATTATTTAGTTAGCTTAAAATAGGTTGGCGGTACTAACTTTTTGGTTAGCTGTGCCCACCACTGATTCTCAGCTCAAAATCTTGCTATTTGTACTGACTGAGCTATAGGCATTTTGTGTTGTCTAATGCTGACAAGCTGTGGCAGCCATATTGAATTTTGTTGACTCCAAAAATTAATCACTTTCTTGTATTCCGACATTCACAACACAGTAAATACAGCAAACCAGGGGTTCTCAGACATTTTGTGTTCAGGGACCCCTTACAGGAGAGAACAAGTTTCAGGAACCCCCTCATAATCCTCATGTTTATTAAATAATTTTCTTCAGTTTGTCTCTTTAATGCAATGGAAATATTTGTATAACATAAATACTGAAGACCTGTCCTTTAATAGTGTTAATACAGTTTTTATACTTTTGAACATGAAGTATTTTTCATTCAAGACACACTAAAATAGCAATTTTTAATTTCAACTTCCAAAAATTACAGTTTTGAGAAAATTAACAGCATCAAAAATCACTTTAAAACTTTACCTATTCACATAATGAACATAATAAATGTATGGCCACTTCTTCAAATTATTACAGAAAACTCTTCACATTAAACTGAACAGAATCATAACAGCAGTCAGAACAAGTAACAGAGCTTCATTTGTAAACTGATCGATGCTGGAAAGCAAATGGCGGGAGGGGGGGGGACCTCCCCCCCAATTTTTGAATATAGTAGTTGCAATTTCCTGCATTTTGCTGTATTTTAACGAGTTCCTAAACATCTATGGCTTGTTTTATATATATATATAA